CGCCCTAAATAGCGCCTCAATGGAGTGTTATGGCGCCTCTAGTGGTGTGTTATAGCGCCTCTAGTGAGTGTATAGCGCCTCCCGCCACTAGTTTGCACTTATCCACCACGCAAGTGCCGCATTTATGAGCTTCTAAATGTCGCGCACAGTTGTTCCCTCGGCAACGCCTCTCGTCTCCTCGGGCCTCAAAGGGGTAGGCTCCTCGTGAGCCTGGTGTATATGGAGTACGTAACTCCTCGATGAGTCCTTACGCCTCCACCGCTACCTACAGCAGCTCTGCGCCTCAGTGCTCGGACCGACGCCTCAGTAGATGTACGCTCGCTAGCGTACGTCGTCCCTCGAGGCGTTCGGCCAACAGTCGCGCCTATGGCTCCGCTATATGCCCCACGCTAAAGGTAGGTAGGCACATATACTTACTGCAGTACGCCCTTTCGCCTCCTTGGATTGACGCTCCGGTAGCTTGGTTGGTCCTTCCCGCACGAGTAGCGTTCACCAACTGACTAGCCCGCTGGCGGCGACAAACTAATTGCGCGTCTACCGCTTTCTATGGCGCGCCATGTCAAAACAAATTATGTCAATTGCTCAAATGTTACACAGCTTCCTTCTAAGCCTGAACGTCCCGTTCAGAATCAGCTGACACAAATCACTACAAACATTAGCAATTGCTACTTAATTATGCACAAAGAAAATTAGCAGGGCAAAATTAGTAACACTAAAAACTTATTTATTCAAAATGATCGGCTTCTAAACACAACATGGCGACGTCTCTAAATTATCTCACTTTTTCGCCATCAATAATTTAAGTGGACTAACATCAAGTGCCCCATGTCGCCTCATGGTGTCTCATAACTTAGGACACTGTTTCCTCATAAATTTAGTTTATCAAAACGTTATATAAACGAGGCAAGTCTCTGACCAACAAATTTTAGGGAACAATCTATTCTACAAAAACATTTCTTTTTTTTTAACTAGTAACAACAAAACAAAACAAGTGGGAATCGAAGATCTGCAACATCTGGTAGGGTTGGCCTTGAAGACTATTTCTTCTCGAATAGCTGGTCAAAGTTGACTTCGTAGATTCGCTCTACCCGGGTTTCGCTGACTTTGGTCCCATCCTGGAAGGTTGTCTGAGTGCTAATTTCTGTAACTCTGGTGACGTGACCTCGGAGGACATCTTGTAGGGCCATTGGTTCTACCGGCCGAAACTGCGGTTCTCTTGGTTCCGCGTTGGGGCGTGACTCGGTTTCCGACGAGTCCTCGGGATGGCTGCTGGCTTCATCCTCTGCTTTTTCCTGGCGCATCCTCTCTAACAATGCCAGGGGTTTGCCACTTGTCCTAGGTGGCCCACGAGGAGTCGCTGTTTCCTCTATCACCAGCGACAAAGAAGCAGGTGACAATGAGATTTCTGCAGGGGCACTGGACGCCTGGGGGCATGTCAGATTCAAGGGTTCCTCCAGGACGTGCCTAAAGTCCTCGACGGTGCAAGGAGATTCCACTGGCGTGTCAGCCACTCCTTCGCTTCACCTCCGTGTGCGGTTGCTCCTCTGGGCACTTGCTGCAAGCCGCCGGTGCTCTCGTCCGTTTCTCCTTTCGCAGCATCTCTCCCACCTCTTCCCAACTGGTGGCGTCTCCAAGATCGCGTTCGGTATGTGCGCTGCTAACCCTCTTTGGTGGGTTACGGTGATGTGTTGTCCCTCCTGATGTTGTCTCTTTGCGTTTGCGGTCCTTCCTTTCTGTTTCCGTCTCCAGCAAGATTGATTCCACTTCAGTAAGTTGATTTGGATGTTCCTGACGGTAGTGCCTCCTCATGTTATCTTTCCTGTTGCAATAGAAATCGCATTGCAAACACCAGCAATACAACTTTGGACCATGCGCTATCTGCATGTGTCGGTAGAGGCTCCTCCTCTGGTTGAACTTCTCCTCACACTCCTCACAGGCAAATGTTCTCTTCTCCTGCCGTCTGGGCTTCTCCATTGTTCGACTGCAATGGGGAAAACACACAAAAACACAAAATAAGTTGCAATCAAATATAAACACTCTAGTTCTGCTTTCTCCATGCAGCTATTTACAGTCCTTATTCTTTTTCTCTCTTGGCAATCCTATCGGAAACGGCAAGGTAACTTCCGTATCCTAGCTGGGTTACGTCTCGGAAGCGCTGTGCCGTTGTTCTGGTCACTATCCTCCATCACTGGTGGTTCAGGGGCCAAGTTGTTGGAAGCTTCGGAGCTTCCTTCTAAGTTTCCACCCCAATGGAATCCTGAACTGGAGTCACCTCTGGTTTATCTCGATTATTAGCCTCGTACAACGGTACTGCCTGGTCATCATGGGTCACGCCTTCATTTGCTACCTCCTTCCTTGGGCGGTGCTCCCAAGGTTGTAGTTGTGGGCCCTGGTAGGGTTTCAGTCGATCAAAGTGCACTACTTGCATCTTTCCCCTAGGCTTCTTCTGGATCCTGTAAGTTACGTCCGACAATTTCGTGAGTATCAGATATGGGCCTTCCCAACGAGATGTTAGCTTGGGGGAAACTCCCTTCTTCTTAGCATGGACGTACAACCATGCAAATTGGCCTTCCTCGAGACCAGTCCCTGCCGTTCTCTTATCGTATGTCTTCTTCTGATGTCTCGCACTGGTCCCAAGCTTCTGCCTCGCCCGGTCGTGGGCAGTTTGCATTTGATGGCGTAGGTTTTCCCATAGTCCGTATTGGGACCCCTGCCCTCCACTGCAATCGTTTGCGTGGTAAGGTCAACTGGCAGCCTGACTTCTCTTCCAAGCATGAGCATATTAGGAGTCTCTCCTGTTGACTCCTGGGGAACAGACCGGTACGCACATGTAGCAAACGCCAACTGTTTATCCCAATCCTTTTGGTGCTTGGTAGGGTCTATCATCATTGAAACAGTGTTTAGTAAGGTCCGATTAAATCGCTCCACAAGCCCGTCAGATTTCGGGTTGTAGGCCACTGTTCGGGTTTTCTCAATTCCAAGGATCTTGCACATCTCTGCAAATACTTCTGATTCAAAATTCCTTCCTTGGTCTGAGTGAAGTTCGCGCGGAACTCCGAATCTGCACACAAAATTCTCCACGAAGGCCTTTGCCACTGTCTCCGCAGTGCTGTCCGGAAGGGCATATGACTCCATCCACTTTGTGAAGTATTCCCCTATTACGAGGATCCACTTGTTTCCGCTTTCACTTTCCGGTAATGGTCCAACGAGGTCCAAAGCAACCCTGTCCATGGGCATGTCCACCTGGTGTTGTTGAAGAGGTGCCCGCCTTTTCCTGGGCGGGGATTTCCGCTGGGCGCACCTCAAGCATCTTCGGCAAAATGACCTTACGTCCGCCGCCATCCCAGCCCAATAATATCTGGTCCTCACTTTCGCCAGTGTACGCTCCACCCCAAAGTGTCCACTGGTCACACCTGCGTGTAGCTCCTCCAGGACAACCTCCCTGTATTCTCGTGGCAAGATCACCTTCCACTCAATATCTCGCCCATCATGCGACTCCCAACGTCGGCACAGCACTGAGTCCCTTATTTCCAACCGTTCCCATTGCCCCCAGTATATCTTGCCCACTATGCCTCGTGCTTGAGCATAGCTCCAGTCCGGACGTTCTTCTGATCCTGTCTTGCAGTTAACAATCCCGCAAAGTGTGGGGTCCCGGAGCTGGGCCTCGGCGATATCCTTCAATGTTATGGTTGGTTCCATTTGCAACAACCTGGTCACCATTTTCTCCTCTCGTACTACACTGTCTTCACCTGACAGAACGTCAGTTACTTCAGCTTTGGCTCCAACCTCTGTCTTAACATCATCCGCCAGGCCACACTGACTACAAGGCTTGCGCGACAAACCGTCCGCATTGCCATGTTTCTTGCCTGGGCGGTGAATGATCTCATAGTTGTACTCTCCAATCACTTGTAGCCAGCGGGCTACCTGTCCTTCCGGGTCTTTGAAGTTGACCAGCCAGCGTAATGCGGCATGATCAGTACGGATGGTAATCTTTCTCCCATACAAGTACTGTTTAAAGTGCTTGAGGTAGAAGACGACCGCCAAAAGCTCTCGGCGAGTCACACAGTAGTTTCTTTCAGGACGGGAAAGAGTCCTACTCGCATAAGCGATTACCCGTTCCTCTCCTTCTTGTATCTGTGACAGGACTGCTCCGATGCTTTCCCCGCTGGCGTCCGTGTCCAGTACAAAGTCACCTGTTGGGTCCGGGTATGCCAAGATGGGCGCCTCCTGTAAGTGATTCTTCAGAGTCACGAATGCCACCTCACAGCTATCATCCCAAAGGAATTCCCTTGACTTCTCTGTGAGCCGGTGGAGTGGGCGAGCCACATCTGCAAATCCCTTAATAAATCTGCGATAGTAGGAGGCAAGTCCTAAGAAACTTCGCACTCCTTTCACATCTGTCGGGGTAGGCCATGATTTAATAGCCTCGATTTTGTCCGGGTCAGTGGAAACTCCGGCTGGTGAAACCACATGTCCCAGATATTTCACGGTCTCCTTGAAGAGAAAGCACTTTTTCGGCTTTAACTTCAATCCAGCCAATCTAAATCTCTGTAGCACCTCGCGTAGGCGCTGTATCTCCTCCATGACGCTTCTCCCGTACACGATAACGTCATCGAGGTATACGAGTAAAGTCTCCCATTGTAGTCCGGATACGACCCTTTCCATCAGCCTTTCGAAGGTGGCAGGGGCATTGCACAAGCCGAAGGGCATGACCCTCCAGCTGTACAAGCCCCCGCGCACCACGAAGGCTGACTTTTGCTTCGCATCCTCATCGAGCTCGATTTGCCAGTAGCCAGATGCGAGGTCTAAGGTGGAAAACCACCTCGCACCTGACAGTGCATCCAGGGTGTCGTCGATGCGAGGAACTGGGTACGCATCCTTGATAGTTGTCTCGTTAAGTCCACGATAGTCTACACAGAAGCGTTGACTTCCATCTTTCTTCCTTACTAGCACCACATTTGAGGCCCAGGGGCTGTCTGATGGCGTAATCAGTCCCCTCTTCAACAAGTCTCCTGCACCTGTCGGTCAATCTCCTGTTGCTTGCACAATGGCTGCCGGCGGGGCCTCTGCCTGACAGGCCGTGTTTCTCCCGTGTCGATATGGTGCTTCACCCAATCATTTCTCCCAATGTCATGATCGCCCTCCGAAAATACATCCGCAAAATCAGTGAGCAGTCGAGCCACTGCGTAGTGATAACAGGGATCCAGATTCTCAACACTGCGTTTCCAGAGATCCTCAAGGTGGCCGGGGACATGAACATCCTTGTTTTCATCTCCGGGTTCAAATGCATGTGCCTGCAGCACATCTCTCTCTACCACCGGTGTGAGGCGTCCGGCTGTCGTGCCGCCCGACCGAACCATGCACTCTCGGCTGCCCGGATTAAGCAACCGCAAGGCAAGTACTCCCTCCTTAGGATCTACCAACGTTCTTGCAAGAATCAAGCCTTTTTGCGCCAACTCACCACCTCCTTCAATCGGTTCTATTATCCCCAGGTCACCTGATTCGAAATCACGGGTCACTCTTCCTTGAACAAGAGCTTCGTGTCCGGGCGGAATGACAGTCGTTTCTGCCACAACCACCCTGGCATGCAAGGTAGTTCCCCATCTAGTTGTGCACCGGATGTGTTCTCCGTGAAGCAAAAGTTCACACTTGTTGAAATCCAGTGTCCCTCCAGTTGGGAGCAGAAAGTCCATCCCGAGTATTCCTTTGGTTTTGACTTTGGCAATGACTGCCCGTACTGGGCACGCTGTCCTTCCAATACGCAAGTCCATGTTTGCCACACCTACTGTTTCCATGACACTACCATCTGCCTGCACGACTCGGATGCCATCCTGCTCCAACGGTGGGCGCCTCTCTGTCGGTATCTGATAGTAAAACCTCCGAGATTATTGTGTCTGTCGTCCCGGTATCCACCAGGAACGGGATAGTGACTGACCGAAACTCTCCTTGTACATAAAGTCCCTGCTTTGGAACAACCAATGGTGCAAATATTTCTCTTTTGTCGTCAGGGTTGAGATGAGTTTTGTCCTGTTGAACTTCTGAGCCCATTGTCAGTTGACCCTTATGTTCGCCCAGCTCCTCTTGGGTCGCAGAGTCGGCTGGCGGCCGTTTCCCGAGCGCCTCCGTGCAGGGGTAGTTGGGTTTGTGCAATCCTTTGCAAAATGTCCCTTTCCTTGGCACCCGTAACACCTGTCATCCGGGTTGGCTATCCTACGCGCGGCCTCGGGTGGTATATGCGTGTGTCTCTTCTCTTTTCAGGCTGAGGTGACTTTTCCTTAGTTGCCTGCTCGTCTCTCATATTCTTGTAGTATTGCTTCAGATGGTCGACCACATCAGCTATGATGGTGTCCCGGTACTCCTCCTCATCTCGCCCCATGCGGCATTTCTTGTCCTTTTTTCCACATCGTTGTTCCTCAATCCGTTCAAAATTCTCCGTCGCCAGCGCCGCACGAACGGCGTCATTCAGAGAAGACGGCCTTGACCGGAAAACCCCCTCCCGAATGCTCTGGCTGGCGATTGCGTCTGAAAAATGTCCACGAGCCAATCTATCCCTACTGTCTTCCGTTAACTCCGGATATGATAGGGTAGCCAACTCGCGGACTGCTTCTCCAAGTTCCTGTAAAGTCTCCTTTGGGCCTTGGCGACGGTTTCTCAGTTCCATAAGGAAGTTCTCAGCCATCTGCCCCGGCCCAAAACGTGTATCGAGTAGTCCAATTAGTTCAGTATACTTGTATCGCCTGGCTTGTCCTTCCCCTTGGCGATTAGTCAAAATTTTCACAGCGGATCCTTGCAAACTTGCGGCCAGGAACGCTGCAGCTTCCTCATCATTCCAGCCATTTACTCGCCTACAAGACTCGAAGTGTTCCCTATAATCTATCCAGGGCTGTTTTCCGCTGAATCGATCCGGAACAATATTAGGTCGTTTGGCTTTTCCTCCAAATCGGTCCTGCCACTCTTGTGACGATTGAATCCGCTCCTCTCTCTTCAATGGCCACGGGGTGCTAGGAGAGGTTGGCCTGCCCTCCTTCGCATCACCGTGTTTGTCGTTTGTGGGTGTGGCGCCTACACTCTCTGGAGAGCCCTCCACCGGAGGCGTCATTGCTCCTCCACGATCAGTAGTCGGATGTGTCTGTGCCGTCGACTGTGGTTGTGGCAAGTATGTTTTATTCTTCATCATCGTTCTCATCGGTGTAGATGTGTTCCGGCCTGTCTCCGTACCGGTTCGCTGCATCTGTTTTACGCGCCCAAACATGGAACCATAACCAGAAGTCTCCATGTCACGCGTTAAGTCATACTTAAATTCGATTTCCTTGTCATCCCTCTCGGGCCTTTTGTGTATCCACCCACGTTGGTGGTGTTCTTCTTCCGGAGACCCGGGGATTGAGACAGAAATTGCCCCAACCGGGTCTCGGCACGTTCCTTTTCTCTCATCGAGTTTGCCAACTGATCCTCTTTCAGTTGGACTTCCATACGCAGTAGGTCAATTTCCTCCTGCAATATCGGCACAGGACGCTCGCCTGTCAGCGTATTCGTGCTTTCTCTCTGTTTACTGCTCATCTCGTCCAAACACTTGGCCTTGGCCATTCAGTGTCAGCGTCCTGAGAATTATCCTTCCAAGTCCTCCGCAAAAATCGGAGTGTCCAACTTTGTCTAATAAGCACTCGCAACACTTGATCAACTCCAAATTTGATTATGCAATCAAGATTAGTTATCAGTCTGTTTACACGTACGCTCGTAAAGAGGTCAGTGCACACACAAAAAAATGTTCCAAGCGTCCAGTAATAAGCTGAGCATACAAATCCCACCGCTGCCACCATTTGTGGCGGATTTAACTATTGCCAGGTCGGTTGTCCTCGGCGAACACTCGCGGGTAAGGCGAGTAACCCTAACAGCGTCGAGGTGCAGGTCCGTTTGGTTGGAAATATACCACCACGTATACTCAGTCTACTCACTGATCGCTGACTTCCAGACAGACAATACAGACTGACAAACATGTACAAATGACTGTGACGCAATGACAAAAGAAAGAAGGTTTCACTGATTTATTTAATTAGATCAATTATTATGATTAGAGTGATTTACTTGTATACGCCCTAAATAGCGCCTCAATGGAGTGTTATGGCGCCTCTAGTGGGTGTTATAGCGCCTCTAGTGAGTGTATAGCGCCTCCCGCCACTAGTTTGCACTTATCCACCACGCAAGTGCCGCATTTATGAGCTTCTAAATGTCGCGCACAGTTGTTCCCTCGGCAACGCCTCTCGTCTCCTCGGGCCTCAAAGGGGTAGGCTCCTCGTGAGCCTGGTGTATATGGAGTGTGTAACTCCTCGATGAGTCCTTACGCCTCCACCGCTACCTACAGCAGCTCTGCGCCTCAGTGCTCGGACCGACGCCTCAGTAGATGTACGCTCGCTAGCGTACGTCGTCCCTCGAGGCGTTCGGCCAACAGTCGCGCCTATGGCTCCGCTATATGCCCCACGCTAAAGGTAGGTAGGCACATATACTTACTGCAGTACGCCCTTTCGCCTCCTTGGATTGACGCTCCGGTAGCTTGGTTGGTCCTTCCCGCACGAGTAGCGTTCACCAACTGACTAGCCCGCTGGCGGCGACAAACTAATTGCGCGTCTATCGCTTTCTATGGCGCGCCATGTCAAAACAAATTATGTCAATTGCTCAAATGTTACAATATCATTAAAGAAAAAAAGAAGTCATTTTCTAATACATTACTATTAACCAAGCTAATCAAGACCCAATAGCACTCTGGGTCACTCACAAGCACAGAGGTATTGTACCCTTCATTTGACCTTGTACATTGCCAAAACAGTACCATCTGCATTTTTAAATGAAGTCCACACAACACGTCTCTTTAAAAGCATGTTCTTTTTTTGTTGAATAAATGCAAATTACTCCCCCGCACAACAATTCAAATCCTTTCAACTTTCTGTAAATCCTGCATGCTTCTACATGTAAAGAAATATAAAGACTAATTCGGCGAACAAAATTAGAAGCCATTTTTGAGTTGGAACTACTTTTGCGTGCATGTCGCACGCGTTCTTAAAGACAAGATGCACATGCATTTTGGTAATCCTATTGGTTGAAGGAACTTGAAGTGTACTGTGTACTACCTGAGCTCCAACTTGGCTCCACCTCAAAAATGACTTTTAATTTATTCGCCAAATTAATCTACACCCAGACTCACTCCAACTAATAAGAGGTCAATTGTTTGAAGCACTAAATAAGGACACTCCTCAGGAACATTTCTCCAAGTTATTATATCACCTAGTAATATGGGAAACCGATGACAAAAGGCTCTCTACAGGATTCAGCAAGAAAATCTTTTGGCCCTAGACTCAAAATGTCACCATGTTTCATCACCTGGGCAACAGTGTAGTAGGGCAAGGACCCTCGGATTTACAGGCCTTATTTCTTGAAGTTTCAAAGCTAAGACTTTTCAGATCACTCACTGTAAGAATAGAACTAATCAAAACATTTACTGGTCGTGCTTGGTACCTAAGATGCTGCATAGTGTAAATATCTAAATTAAGGCATAACATTGTTAACAATGGTTTGGGTGTAAGGTACCACTCAGTACTTCTGAGCTGTTTGTCAAAATTTCCACGTAGCTATACCTTTTGATGCCGGACTCTTTCTTGCATTTGTTTGCTTTTTCTTCAGGCTTCCCACTTGGCACCTACACAATTTTTGTCAGGTACTTCTTAGCACCTGTTCTTGTTTGGGTACTTGCAGCTTGGTATATGAAGGAATTGTGTGGTACTTGTGACCTTTTGGTACCATTGGAGTGACACTTGAGCAAATCTTCTAAGCCCTAGAAGTTACCAAGAGCCACTTAAATTGGCACAAATACTTACTTCTTGCATTTGTGACAGAGAATGTGACATAATCTCGGACGATTCAATTTGCGATACAACAATCCTGTTAATGGCAATTTAATCTCCATGAAACCACCACAAACAAACACGTACTGAAAGACTTTGATTTAATTACTGCAAAATCCACAAGACGAACGATCTCCACAGATCTTCAGCCAGATCACATTCACTTCAAATTTCACTCCGTGATTAATTCTCAGAGAGGGCAATTTCTTGTGACAGAGACGAAGTTCATTGTTCGTGGACCCCCCCCCCCATCCAAAAATAAAAAAGACTTAGAATTGCATTAGAGCTGAGTGTTGCTAAACTGTATTTGACGTTGATCAGCACAGCTCAACGTGATTAATTTATCAGCGCGGATCCCGGCCAAACGTCAAGCCAAGCCCAGGAGATGATAAAAACAAGAACAAGTAAAAGAAAATGGCAGTCAAATACTTATAAAAACAGCGAATAAACTCGGACAGTGGACGTAGAATAAGCCTAGGGTGAACTAGAGTTGCAAGAATAACATCCTGGCTGCTCCGTCCGAAACCACTTGTGACAGCATTCATAATTGTATTTCATATGTTGTGACGCACATTCTCTGCTTATATCAGAACCTCGGCAGCAGGTACCCGCCCCGGTATGATCCGTAGAGGCACGCTGAGCCTTGGCGCATCTCACTGTCTCATCTCCAAGGAGAGAATCCGATTCCTCCAGCCGGTGGGAAAGATTTGGAAAGAAGAAAAAAATACCGAGAGCACAGTGAAAGAACGGCAAAGAGAGAGACTATCATGACAGCACTAACTGCCTTCAGGAAATGGAAGTAGGCTTCTCAGACCACAGGGACACCCGCAGAATCTTAGAGAAAAAAAAACCCACATGAAATCGGAACAAGAACAATC